CAGTAAAAGTTTATTTTTGATCATGTATTTAAAATACACTTGTAAGAGCTTATAAATACTCTTGTTAAAGTTATTCTGTTATTCAATTTTTTTAGTTAGTATATACGTTTATTTCAAAACTGTTTGATTATAATTGATAAAATATTTTGAAATTTAAAAATAGTGTTAAATATTCTATTAGAATAATATGTTTCTCAATAAATTGAAATTAGTATTCTTTTTTATTCAGACAATCAACCAATCAATATGTGTTGATCTAAATAACATTACACATGAGGACATAGAGACTCTTAAAATGGAATACCCAAATATTCATTATGTCATTCTTCAACAACATCCTTATTATATACAATCGAAAAATGAGGTATTGTTTTGTCCACTACCTTACAGTCACGTAGTAGATGATGAAGATATTCCTTATGAAGAAGGTTTAGAAATAATAAATAAAACATTAACACTTGTGGTTAGTAGATGTGTGAACAAAAAAAATTATAAATTGGCTTATACAATTTTTTTGAACGCCATTGAAAGTATGGTCTTTACATTCATGTATCGGTTCTGCGAGTTTGCAATAGAAATGAATAAACAATGTGCTGAAATATCATTTTACTTAGAAAATTTTAGTGAAAAACTTGCTGAACTTATACCGAAAATTAATAGAGAATGGATTTCTCCTGAACCGCATGAATGTATTTTAGATGTTTATAAAAATCACAAATCTAAGGAATTCAAATTTAATAAAATCAACATAAATTACAAAAATGCTTTATTAAACTGCATGAAGTTAATGGAAAATAAAGTGCATTTTTTAAAAGAACCTAATAATATATCAATGAATAATATGGATGTAAGCGACTTAGAACGTTACTATAATATCAGTTATAATATTATAGGTTATCATTTGTTTTTATCACATGATTCTACTCGTTTCAAATATATAACTGGAGATATATGTAAGAAGGTTTTTTTATATCGTTTCATTACATAACATTATTTTGTATGAAAGTTAAAATTTATTTTTATAGTTTATGAAATATTTATCTGTAAAAAAACGTTATTCAATTTCAAGATAATTGAATTAATCGCTATTTTTTAAAATATAGTTTTCAAAAAACTCAAATTATACTATAAGTATATATTTGGTAAATAACTTTACATAATTAAAAAACAATTATTCGGATTACTCGGCTACTAGTTATGAAGTTTTTTAAAGCGTTAAAAGAAAACTTATATTGCTTTTGAACTGAAAACTAAAATTTAAAATTTCTAGAAATTATTACCGATACAAGTATTTAACATTTTTTTCTGTAGGTGAAAGCAAATGTTTTGGATGTAACAAATACAGTAGCGGTGATTCGGGAATATACTTTTTTTCACCATGTGGACATGGCTGGTCATGTGAAAGGTGTGTTAAAAAAATTGAAGCTTGTCCTGTATGTAATGAATTGATTACAAGTACTCAAGAACTAAATATACAAACATCTGTGTCAATAGTACCCGAAAGTATATAAATTATAATTACTTATTGAAACATTAATGAAGTAAAATATTGAGGTTGAAATAAATAAAAACTTGAGTGGTCTACAGGGGCGGATCCAGAATTTATTCCAGGGGGGGCGTCATTAGATACATATTTTTCTTTTAAGAACTGATTTATTATTTTGTGTTTATTACATTTCTATTTTTAAATATTCGTTTAATGTTTGCTGCATAATAATTTTTTTAATTACTATAGTATATGGTTTTTGATGACTCTGAGGACATAAGTATATAAAAATAAACTCGTTAATCAAAATTGATTAAACTAATTTTCAATGTTTGCAATTAGTGTATGAGCCCTTACCACCAAGATGTATCTTAGATGGACGAGAAGCGCGTTGTATAAAGTGTCGCAGTCAAGTAACAGATGATGATGATGATGAACTGTCAAAGAGTTACATAATGATACCATGTGGTCATGGTTGGTATTGTGAAAATTGCATTGAGGACGAAAAAGTGTTCAATATGTTCCAAGAAAAAAACAGATAAATTGTGTATAATATTAAAAAACAATGAATTGCATTCAAATTAATCCGTGTTCATTATGGCGCATTGGTACTACAGATACATTGTGTGTAAATTTGTAAAACAATGAATAAATCTATTAGTGTTATTTCTATAATTAATATTACTTTGGTTCATTTAATACCCTTTTGTTCTTTAAAAAATATACATGTTCCTTATTTGTACAAAATTACATTTCTAATAATGCTATTTAATATTAATCATTATGACCGTTTAGAACAATAAAAAATGTTCGTTCACGACGTATGATAGGAACCATCCGTTAGCGAACAGTCATAAATAACAAAAGAAAGGTTTGACCCTTACACTTGCCTTTTAGATAAACATATTTACCTAAAATATAATTTTGAATTAAAATTGTTTTAATTAAATAAATTTATTAAACAATATCAATTATTTGTTTAAGTAGCTATAATCGGAAACAGGGGAACTGAGGCCCCCCAGTTTGAATAAGATTCCCTAATTGACTTAAACATAAAAAAAATATTTAATATAAGTAGTATATAGAAAGCGGGAGCTGGCACACAAAGGTGCCGCGGTCATTGATTTGTTGTGCTAGGTCGTTTGTATACACGTGTATATAGGATGGTACATATCGCACGTGTATGAACCGGTGGCTGTGTAGGTGCTATTAATGATTATGTCACCAACGTTTAAACTTTTGAAGGATATCTTGTCTATATCAGAATGTATCTCATAAGTGGACATTCAATTAAATATATCTAAATTAACTATATCAATCACTAGTTGATCATTAAATTTTATTATTAAAAATTGTTATGTATATTTATGTTATCATATTTTCACATTAATTTTTTTATATTCATTTATAAAATGCATTTCCAAATTATTTCTAGACAACTTACAGTGCATCAGTAATACATAATATTTGTTTACTATCTTATTAAATGCAGCGAAACCTTATTTGAGATAATTGAGTAATAAAAACAAATATCACATTATTTAATAAAATTCATATGAAAAATGCAATCAAAAAATACATTGTATACAGAGTGATTTTTTTATCATAACCCACTCAATTACTTACAGAATAATAATAAATTAAACATTTTTATTTTCGATTATCCTTAGTTACACATTATACTTGAATTATTAACTATGTAATACTTTTTAAGTTCATTCCTTATGCCTGGTAAGGATGTCAACTTTGTTTTTTTAAATGAGAACACATATTTTGAATTTAATAAAATGTTTGAGTTTTTAATTTAATAGTAAATGGCGTTTGAATTTTTAGTATAACTTAATTAGTTTATTAGATATAAACACTTAAAGTTTCAAATTTTTGAGTTAATTTACATGTATAATACACAAGGGTTTACAAATACAGGTAGCTAATTGATTTTTTATGACATCGATATTAGCAGGTACACAGCATTGTTATTATCAATTGTAGTAAGGCACATTGTTGTGAGTTTATAAATACACTANGCAAGGCACATTGTTTTGAGTTTATAAATACACTAATTGACAATACAAAAAATTTATCTGTTGATAGTCATAATTGATAATAATCCATCCTTGACTGTGATAGCAATTTCATTAAAAACCAATTAGCTATCTGNGTGATAGCAATTTCATTAAAAACCAATTAGCTATCTGTATATTATATTCACTATTATAAATTAATTTCCATTTTTCAATTAATATTTTAAATAAATTGAAACATAATATCATATTATGATTACTCAGTAATATTAATTAAAACTCGTAATAACTATTTTGTTGGTTGCATCCTTGCTCCTCGTAATAAACCATCTTTTGAAAATTTACCTTGAGTTTTTTGTGAAAATTATTCATGAAATTATATGTTTGTTATGTTAACAATTTTTCAAAACAGTGACGTATTTAGGAGTAAACCGTGACCTAGGGTGTCATTTTTTCCAATTAAGAACTAAAATCTTATTAAATTTATTATTTATTTATATGTAACATAATTTATAAATTATATCAATTAATCTTAAAATGAATAAATAAAATAAAATTATATAAAATATATGTAACACTTTATTTTCGAAAATTTAAGTATTGTTGTCTTAAAGTTTATTAATAATTTTTAATTTAACATGTATGCAATTGTAAATACATTTTTTTTAGAATTTATGTAATTAAATTATTTGTATAGTTTTAGCGAATTACTTATAATAAATTCACATCAAATAAATTAAATTAGCAAATTATAAATGTATGTGTTAGTAATAAATTATTGTTATTAATAAGTAATATATTAATTATAAATAAATATTAAAATATTAAAAATCAAGCTGTATGAATTTAATTTTCAAAATATTTATGTATGTTATTACAATAAATTGCAAACAATTGTAAAACATAAATGTTCATCGAACAATACCTAAAAGGCTGTATACCTAATTGAACAATAGAATTCGTTTGACGAACGTGACCGTTCGAGGAACGTGTCCGTTCAACGAACGTCTAGATCCTTCTAAAAGCGTTCTGTACCATACAATTACTATCAACAATTATATTTTCTGACCAAGATTCTCTAGCAAAACTCTGACATATATTAACTTAATTAGTAAAAAATAATTGGTCACTACTATTATTATATTCATTAGTAATAGCCCTAACCTGTCTATTATCATTTACATTATTATTAATATTACTCTTATCTTTAACAATTTTTGACTTACATCCTACAGCAAAATTACTAAATTTTAAACATATCTTGTATTTTTGGTTGAAAGCTGGACAATTCTTAGGACCATGATGTCAACCACATTTATTACAATCATACATTAAAAGACTTATGTCCTGAATTTTATATTTCATTGATTCAATGGATTTTTAACCCATTTGACTTTTAGTTCAATTTGCAAGTTTGAAATTAACATCATTAAATAGAAACTTTTATGAGAATTATAAAAAATTGTATCGTTAAAATTAATATGCAGTCAGAAAATTTAATAATTACTATTTATAGTAAATGTATCATTAAAGCTTAATATTTAACCATAAGTAACAGGTTGAGATAAAAGTCAAACGAAAAAATTAAAACACAACATGTTATATGCAATATAACTTAACTAAATTGAACAAATCACATAAATACAATTTTTACTATAATCTTACCAACCATTGACCGTACAAAAAAGACTCAATATTTTAGTGGCTAGATAGTGGATTCTCCGCGTCAATGATCTAAAGTAGGCAACCTAACACAGTTAGCAGAAAACGTGGAAGGGTATAAGATAATTGTTTTTTCTTTAGTAAAACATTAATAATTAGAAATAACTACATCATTATTAAAAAAAAATGAAACTATAAAATAAATCAATAAAATGTGACTCATCCTTTTGATAATATTAGAACATGAAGTTAAAATTTAAGGATGTATGGAATCATCAGGATCGGTGGGCAAGATTGCTAATTTCACAACAGGGGCACACGTCTACGCTGTGCAGTTTGAACATGCACTACACGCACAATTTTACCGGGTCCTGGCGTTAATGCAGTTATTTGACTTAAACGCCACATAAGTGGGGGCGCCTATTATCTTTAATAATAACCATGTCTCCGACTCGAACGTTTAGTTGATCAGTCAACCATTTAGGTCGTTGTTGTAAGGTTGACAAATATTCAGATGACCACCTGTACCAAAAGGCCTGATGACAATTGTCTAACAAATTCCAACGGCCAATTATAGAACGTGTAGCGTCGACCTCGCTTCGCGGCGGAACAGCAAGAACAGCAGAAAACGTGGCTGCATCTGACAAGTCATAAGACCTCGGGCGTCGGGAAGCTGAATTCCAGAAAGACCCGTAACGGACTGAGTCCATCGGTGTGCGGGAGACCAAGGCGATCCGCGAATGCCGTCGTCATGGCACTAATTTACGACGCGAAATCTAACAATATGCGCGCGGTTTGAAGAGTGCCCGACCTATCACGAACATGAACCAACGCTGTCCCCAAGAATACTGTTGGTGTAGTATTAGGCGTAAGACCGAAAAACTATTTGACGGTACATCAGCTGTGGCCGACGGACTATTACTTGGCTGGCCTGGTGCGCGGAGTGGTCAATCAATGTGTAATAATACATGATGTCTCCGAATACGCCGATTACACGTCACTGCAAAACATTTCGTGGAATAGTGAATAGTGAGTAGTGATAAGGCTTCGATAACATAGGTGTTTATTAAGAGCATACTGCAACCGGTCATTAACGTCCCTATTGATAAAAACTTGACAGTTAACTATCATAAGTTCACCTTTACATGCTGTGCATTGTTTCGATATATTTATGTTATTGACCGGTTTTGCGGTAACGAGCGAAATTACCGGAACCCGACTATTTTTCTCATTACCATGAAATTACCATGCAAATTACCATGAACATGGCGACAATCTTGAACATTTTCTAAAACAGCTACTCGTCTTTTTACAAAATTAATTACATCATCGGCTAAAGGATATTCGGCTACCGTTTCAGCATCGAAACATTTACGACTTGATGTCGGTAAGCAACGGGAGCATAGTGCAAACAAAATAAAAGACCCTATATCCGGTTTATTTGATTATTTAACAAAGAAATACTCTCGTCCAAAGTTTCAAAAAACGTATTTAATTCGGTAATACTTTCTTGATGCAAAATTTGTACCGATAGCATTTTGTCGACTATAACAGATGCCACTCTCTGTGGCTTATCATAACGGTTGGATAGAGTCAACCAAGCTAATGCATAATTATGTGCCGATACTGGAATACCATTTATTACGTCCGCGGCGCTACTACCTTCGAGACAGGCAATTAGAAAATCAAATTTATCATTATCGTGAAAGTTCTGCTGATCAATAAGTAAATTAAAACGATCACGGAACGTGTGTAATCGCCATTAAAACGGGGTAGTAGCATATTTGGCATTTTTAGGGGACGTTTTTCCATAATTTGAACCAAACCCGCGCCTGAATTGGTTTCGCTGAACACCGACACCTTTGCCGACGGTGGAACGCGATCTACTTCAGACTGATACTTAAGCCTCGTTGCTTTAATCAAAGTTACGCACTCGCGTACTTCAAGTTGAAGTGCTGTTATATACTCTAACCCGAGGCCTAAGTTAAGCAATGCATCTATTAGGGGACGGATTCAAACCAAAGCGCGTCCATATGGCGAGCTGCCACGATAGAATTTTTTTTAAGAGCCGGTGCAGTAATAACATGACATGATAAATCGTACATAGCTTTAATATGGGTCACTGCGGTTGATCATCTAAGTAATGCATGACCTTTAGCGAGTCTAAAAGCGGCGTCGTCAGTCATAATAAATAATTAAGAGAATTGTAAAAATTTCAATAGTTAACTTTTATTAAATTAAGTAATTAAATTAATACATACACATATCAAAGGAAAAGACCAACAATACTGACCACATTATTAACGGTACAAATAATCATAAAAACATCAAAACGCACCCAAACCTTTTCTATGAATGATGAGTGATGTTAATCACTGTCTGATAACTATACTTGTCACTGATAGGAATTCGATAATTGTAGTTTTGTAGAGTATTTAAAAAGCAAGGAAACAGGTAAATNTACTAGTGAAAGATAATACAGAGTATTTAAAAAGCAAGGAAACAGGTAAATTGCTACTAATAATGAGAATAATGGAAAGTCATTTCCATAATGTAGGCCAANATAATGAGAATAATAGAAAGTCATTTCCATAATGTAGGCCAATATTTATTTATTTTAATATAGAAAACATAAATAATATAAAACTTATATAAAATAATAATATATTATTACCTGAATTTATTAGTTTATTAGAATTCAAGTAAAATAAAACGTAATTATACAACACCATACATTTTTATCTATTTTTATTTCTAGAACAAATCAAAATAATACATTGTATACAAAAAAAAATAATTCGAAAATATTAGCTTGGATAATAATATTAAGTTTTTAATTAAAAAATTTCTCTCAAAAACCTCCAACATTACTGTTAGCAATTGGTTTTAAAAACATAGAAAGTACAAAGTCAAGGTATGATCCGGTTGTCTGTTCGTTTTAGACAAACCGGTAACCTCAGCTCATCTTGATCACTCTTCGATTACACAGTAACTATGCTCAGGGGCGGTTGACTTATTAATTACCACTTGCCATTGTTTATTCAAGTTTTACTTTTCGATTAATTTTTATTTAGTTATCCCATTCATCTAGAGAAAAGTATTCCGATGACGTATCGGAGCTAGAACTGCTCGACATCATACTTGCCCGACGAAACATTGGAATACCTAATGGGTTCATTCTTTCAAAATCATTTTCGTTTATTTTTGGATTTTCTATTACTGAAACTACTGGCTTCACCGGCTATAAAATATTATACTAAGATTGTATATATTTTTAAATATTTTATTTTGACTACTCGAGTCAAGCAACAGATTGTGAAATCACCACTAAGCAGTTAAATAAATACCAGATCACTTATGTGAAGGATTAGATAATTTAAAAAAAANTTTATTACTGAAACTACTGGCTTCACTGGCTATAAAATATTATACTAAGATTGTATATATTTTTAAATATTTTATTTTGACTACTCGAGTCAAGCAACAGATTGTGAAATCACCACTAAGCAGTTAAATAAATACCAGATCACTTATGTGAAGGATTAGATAATTTAAAAAAAAAGATACTCGGATAATAAATGGATATTAGAGACAAAAAATTAATCTAACGAACACATACAATAATAAAATAAAATGCATAATTAATTTGAAAATATATGTATATTAATTCTTCATATTATTATGAATTGTTTAGAATGCGATTCATTAATATTCATTTTATATTCCCTTCATAAGTATGACAAAAAGTTAAAAAACGTAAAAATATTCATTATTATAAATTTTATCTGTTGTATTTGATTTGTTATTAAAAATCTTTATTTTTATGAAGCATTCAAAATGCGATTCATTAATATATGACCCACTTCATAAGTATGATATAAAAAAAAATTGAATTATAATCATTAAAATACTATATCGATTTTAGACATTTATTTTGCTTACATTAAGCTATAATATAAAACTTGAACGATACTCTATTATTAATTGTTAAAAAGGTTTACCTTCAATTTCACGCCGCGTTTGATTTCCTCTATAAGATTTTTTGGTAGAGCTGCTGGTCTATAAACCTTACCTTTGCTTTTTACATTGTTTTCTGATTTTAGTGGCATTAGTAGAGTATGAGGAGGTGGTGAAGGAATGATATCTGGAAAATATTCATATTTAGATAACATAAACAGTGACTTTTTATGTATATATACAAGTACTATCAAAAAGGTTCATTCTTCGAAGATTTTTGTCATCTATAATTGATTTTTCTAATACTTTAACCATTGGACTTACCGGCTATATAAAATTAAAAAATCAAACACATATACTAACTGTTATAATTAATATACTCATTTTAACATTTAATATATTGTGGTAATTGTTTTGCTTACATAAAGCTATAATATATAATTTGCACTATACTCAATTATTAATTATTAAAAATTTTACCTTCAATTTCACGCCGCGTTTGATTTCCTCTATAAGATTTTTTGGTAGAGCTGTTGGTCTATAAACCTTACCTTTGCTTTTTACATTGTTTTCTGATTTTAGTGGCATTTGTAGAGTATGAGGAGGTGGTGAAGGAATGATATCTGGAAAATATTCATATTTAGATAACATAAACAGTGACTTTTTATGTATATATACAAGTACTATCAAAAAGGTTCATTCTTCGAAGATTTTTGTCATCTATAATTGATTTTTCTAATACTTTAACCATTGGACTTACCGGCTATATAAAATTAAAAAATCAAACACATATACTAACTGTTATAATTAATATACTCATTTTAACATTTAATATATTGTGGTAATTGTTTTGCTTACATAAAGCTATAATATATAATTTGCACTATACTCAATTATTAATTATTAAAAATTTTACCTTCAATTTCACGCCGCGTTTGATTTCCACTATAAGATTTTTTGGTAGAGCTGTTGGTCTATAAACCTTACCTTTGCTTTTTACATTGTTTTCTGATTTTAGTGGCATTAGTAGAGTATGAGGAGGTGGTGAAGGAATGATATCTGGAAAATATTCATATTTAGATAACATAAACAGTGACTTTTTATGTATATATACAAGTACTATCAAAAAGGTTCATTCTTCGAAGATTTTTGTCATCTATAATTGATTTTTCTAATACTTTAACCATTGGACTTACCGGCTATATAAAATTAAAAAATCAAACACATATACTAACTGTTATAATTAATATACTCATTTTAACATTTAATATATTGTGGTAATTGTTTTGCTTACATAAAGCTATAATATATAATTTGCACTATACTCAATTATTAATTATTAAAAATTTTACCTTCAATTTCACGCCGCGTTTGATTTCCACTATAAGATTTTTTGGTAGAGCTGTTGGTCTATAAACCTTACCTTTGCTTTTTACATTGTTTTCTGATTTTAGTGGCATTAGTAGAGTATGAGGAGGTGGTGAAGG